CCGGACACTGAGCTATCACGGCTCGTTGAAGGTTGAAGGAAATTTCCAGAACGAAAACGTTGAAACCAACGTACCGTGCTTTCTTTTGCGACACCAGCGCCGTACACATCATTAATCTTTCGAGCTGTTTCTGCATCACTGGTGCCATGGTAGAGTTACTCGTAAATATACCGATATTTCATGTTTTCCATTTGGCGGTAATAAGCAACACCAAAGAATAAAATAATAAGGAAAAAACAAATGAATTAATGTTTTTAAAACTCTTTCCCAGCTAAATGAATTTATAAATTTGAATTTGGAATTCTTAACCAAAGAGGAGATATTTCAGATCAAAGTGGTCATTACGACAAAACCCTAATTTCAAATGTAAGGACCTAATATTTTCGAAATATTTTGATATTATTTAAAAAATATGCTGGTTTCTTCACGATGTTTTCCTTCACCGCCGAGCACGTGATAAGTCAACACTTAAAATTAACAATTTCATTGGTGCTGACACCGGGGATCGGACTTAGGTTGCTCGAGTAAATTGAATAAAAGGCGAGCGCCCGGACATTGAGCTATCACGACTATTACTACTGTGCCAGAGTTTAAATACGCATAAGATTTTTTGCAAATTATAATAGTTTTAGATCCATTAACAATTCGAAACCGTAATGTAAACGAAATACCGGCCGGCAATAATGACTGAAGAGTCCCTTTTTTGCAACTTGTTTACAGTGTACGGACTGACAACAAAGCAGGGTCTGCTTTGTTGTCAGTCCGTTGACAATCAGAAATGAAATAAATATTGTGTCGGATCGATTCCTAAATTCTTAGGGAGTATATGATTGAAAATGCCATTTTGAATGATAATAGACATTCCCTATTATTTTTTATTAAAGAGTTTAAGAACTTAAAACAATAAAATTATTTATATCGTTACAAAGTACATCTCATTCATGGCTAAAATATAAACCAGAAAGTTTAAATGTCACAACATATACAGAGTATTTACCTACAAAACCAGCTTTCTAGAAATGCTACTGTTAAATATTAAACGAAAGCGTCCTTGTACGACTGTCCCGAATACTTTATAGGTTTTCCCGCGCCTCACATGTACTTCATATAATCCGTACACTTTGAAAATGTACGAGCGTAAACTGTAAAAGGAAATGCCAACGATATTAGAAAAATAACTGTTAAATATCATTGAACACAACCATGTTTTACCGACGAACGTTTCTGTTTTTTTATGTAAGAAATGGCTAGCGAGCTGGCGGGTCACCTGCTGTCAAGCTATATTTGCAACACCCGAAGATGGGTTGCCACGTTTTAACCAGTAGGCCCGGTTATCTCCCTCAACAGACGAAACACAGAAGTATAACATTTCAACTATATATATATACATATATATATATCGCTGTCAGACTTCGCCGTTTCAAGAATTGGCAGGCCTCGGGGCCTAATTCTAAAGGAATCGGAAAATCGTTTGACAGGTACAGTTTGTATGGGAAAATAAAATTGTTGCTATTTCGCAATTTGCAATGTAATTTTTCCATAATTTTTCATCGTTTAAACCTTCCCTGGACTACCACGAATATATCAAAACCAAAATTAGCCAAATCGGTCCAGCCATTCTCGAGTTTAAGCGAGACTAACGAACAGCAATCCGTTTTTATATATAAGAAGATATATGTGTACATACATATATATATATATATATATATATATATATATATATAACCTAATCTCTGTGAGGTCTTGTCTTCTACACTCAAATACTTGAAATCTCAAGAAAATTGTTGTATATAAGTAACTGCTATTAAACATCGTGTTGAGGATTCGATGTCCATGTAGGAAACGTTTGTCAACTCACTACAAAATTTTTTATTGATGGATGAAAGACTATTTTTTACGAAATGTAATTTTTTTCCCTTAAATTAATAGATATGGCTGTTAATAAAGATGTTCGTCCTCTTCCAGTCTACGATACGACGTGCACCAACCCTCATTATAATAAAACCTTACGTACCTATACCTATAGAGTAGATTTATGCAACCTTGTAAAATGTTGCGCAGTAGGTGTCTTGGCGCACTTTGAATCACAGATGGGACCTGTCTGGATTCTGGATTTTAAATGAGCCAATTTTAATAACAAGATATCACAACGTAATAAAATCTACTACTCTGATACGGAGATTACGTTCCGTCTATTATTTACACATTGTTAAATTTAGAGCAACATAGGTTCGTAAATTCTCATGACTATTATGCGATTGTAATTTATACGTGTTTATGGGTGCTTTACTTGATTTTTTTTAATTAAGATAGTGTGCTATATAAAACTTTAGCATTTAAGAGGTAATTGCCTTCCGAATGGAACAAGCGATTTCAAAGTCCAGTTGTAGTGCACTGTTGTCGAATTTTGTGGTGTCTTTGTGATACTTTCACTGTAAAACTTAAATAGTAAGAAACATCACCCAACCCGTGTGAGAAAATTTACAACTTTGTATAACTAGATTTCTATTCAACAAAACGAACCCCCATTTATATATCAGTAAAGTTTCGCAAGTCGCAAAGAAACCCTAAAAAGTAAACTTTGGAAAAGTAGAGAATTTGTTGCATAAAAATTGCGAAGTCAATGTTCCGATTTCCCAACGGAGAAAGAAAAGCTCTTTTCGTTTTGTTCTAAAATTAAAACAGAACTTTCGACATTCGCTTCAAATAAGCACGACTCTTAAATTAAGTCAATCAAATAAAATCAGTAATCCTGAAAGTATTTACCTTGGACGTTTTAGGTATCATTTGTAACAGGTGCTTTAACATAAGACCAATTTACTTTACTGTGGTAGGCCCACGCAACACTTCTCTTCTGTTGCACGAATGGACAGATCCGTCCGGGAAGTACCACGACCTCACTGGAGACCGGCGGGAAGTGGAAGTGTTATACTTCTGCGTTTCGTCTGGTGAGTGAGGTAGCCGGGGTCCATTTTTATTAAAAGGTGGCAACGCATCTGCATCCCTACGGGTTTTGCAATTGTCTATTGGCGGCAGTTATAAGTTAACATCAAGTGAACCGACAGCTCGTTTGTCTCCTCGCATTTAATATTATTCGTATATTATGAAGACTTTTATCGAGCCCGATAATGATTAGGCAGAACATTAACGTTGTTATTATCATAATGGCGAATATTTTTGGAGAAATAACTCGTATTATTTTTTATTGACTCTTCACATAATTAAAACAATGTAGCAGCTAGCTATACGGCTACATACGCATCGCCTGTACTTTTCTCATAAGATTGCCTCTTTATTCTGTAATCATTGTTTCACCCGCCATCGATTGAATATATCATTAAATTGACGAAACATGTAGTTTAAGAAATACATCACGGGCAGGGCGTGAGCCAATTCGTAGAGGTCACGTGGCGGACTATCCTATTTTATATTCATACATTTCCAAAGTCGTTACTCATTGGCAGTGCAATAGCTTGCCCATAAATAGTGCTTAGATATTAGGGATCGTGTAGAGATCGAACAGAAATCGAAAACATCATCCACCAAAGTCGAGTCTGTATATCGTCGGCGTAGGTAACTATTAGAAATTCGATTTAAAAAGTTTAATTACTATTTCTATAATTTTCTTTTCTTTCGAAAAAAGCAACATTTATAACTATTTTATTGGGAATTCTTATATTTAAAATATTTATACCGAGCAGAAAGACAAGTCAATAAAGATGTTCTATTTTCATCAGCTCGTAAAACTGAGTCCAAATTTGATAGTGATTATTAAGAATGTTTTTAAAAAAACCAATTAGCGAAATATCACTGGGATTCGAACCAAAGATTTAAATGCAACTTGTCCGACGTCAACACCTCTAAGCCATCCTGAGCATCAAAAATTCAAGCTCTATAATAACTGACATAAATCTTGCCAAAATCCCCAAGATACAATTAAAATTTTAACCCATTGCTGTGCATTGTTAAAGCTAGTTTAAAAACTTAACTACCACCCCAATTTTAAATAAATAAAATAGAAAGGCAATCAAATAATAATAAATAAAATATAAAGACAAAGTAATTTTTTCTCGTAATTATCCATTATCTAAGCTTAAAATGATAAAGCATCTTTCACATGTCATTGGCGAATTCATAAAAACGCCATAAAGGAAAGAAGAAAGCCAATCAACAAGAATATCAATTACGACAAAGAAATAAAAAAAAAATTGTTTGATCTTATAAAAATTAAATGCATTCCTCATTTATTATAATTAGGGTCAGAATTTTATTCTAGTTTTACAAAAAGGATAAAATTCAGTACCGGGTTAACAAATCAATTTAACCAATAGATAAACAACTGCAAAACTTTGACGTTCTAGTTTTAAATAAAGAACAAAAATGCAATGAACATATCAAGCCTGAAGAATCTACAGACAATTTTAAAGTTAGAATGTATATTATTACTTAACAAGTTCTTATTATGGTTGACATATTTATTTCAATTACAGTTTGCAATATGATTGATAATTAAACATCACCTTAAAGTTATTTAGTATTGTTGAATTATTTTAAATTAAACATTAATCTATACATAAAAAATAGACAAATTTTTGAAGTGTTTCTCAATTGCAAATACTGAGAAAAAAAAATATACTAATTCATCATTTGAATGATAAACAAGATACAACAAATAAAAAAAACTTAGCACTATTCATGCAAATAAAACTGCAATGCTGGTATCAAAAATTGGATTTATATTTCCGTTTCACTGCATAGTTAATGTCAATAACAATGTGCCAGGTTACAGAGATGGCCGCACAGCTGGTATCAAGCATAACATGTACTTTTTATAACATATGATACATTTTTTCAGACCTAGTATCCTAGACATTATATACTACCTACCTACATAGATATACAGGTAAAGCTAAACTATCTACAATTGTCAATAAGTTATATACAGATAACAATACAGCAAAGTTTTATATAAACACCCACATCTCAAATAGACCCACCTATCTGTAGCCAGCAACACCTTGATTTTTCCTACACTCAGGGCAGTACCATTTGCCTTTAGGCGGTACCATGATACCTACACACTCAAAGTGGAACCACTCGATCGGACATCCCTCGGCATCGCATGCTATCATTTCTGATACCTCATCATAGGGGCATCGGCAGTAGCAATATACGCTTTCGCCCTCCCGTGCTTGGCGCACTGATGGCCTTTGGAACGGGTATGGCAGGCTAGACGTACCGGAATTTAGATACGTGGGTGGCGGTACGGGTATGGAGTTCTGGACGCTATTGGGTTGATATATTTCTAAAGCGCCTTCAGCACTGGTATCCGAGTCGCTCGATTCCATCGACTCTGAATTCATCAAAATTTTCGGCGGCTCCGGATCTGGGATAGGTGTAGTTAACCTTATTGGATCCGTATAATTGAATACCCTCTGAGGTATAATAGCAGAGGGAATTTCTTTCTTAGCTTTGTGGGTCACCGGAGAGGGTAGATCCTCCTTCCTCCACTCTAGCTTAGGTGGTAGCTGTGGTTTCAAAGCCACATTCGTCTGGGAGTCTTCGTCGCTTGAATAACCATAGAATTTGTTCGGAACACGTCTTCGCTTCGATGCGCGTTTCTTTTCTTGAGGTGTTGACTTTGGCGTGGTTGTGTTACTTGACACCGCTAGTGTTGGGTTCGGCGCTTCGGGTATTTGCACCGTGTTGGACTGTAGCGATATAGTGATTTTATTCGGCGCTAAAGCCGGCGAAGCCTCCACTTCCGCCTTAGCAATTATCTCCTTGGGAATGTTAATTTTGATTGGTGCATGCTTCCTCGAGCTCTTTGATCTCTTCTTCTTTTTGCTACGTTTTTTACTGCTACTCGTTTTTTCTTTAGCTTCATTCTCAGGTTGTTCAATAACCGGTTTGACTTTCTCTTTTGGCTCTTCAACTTCCTCCTTAAGAGGAGTAGTAGCACGACTCACTTCCCCAGACATGGAACCACCGTCAGAAGGTGCTACTGAAGCTAAAAGCATGAGCTGATTACGCTTTTCCGCGTACAATTTGTTTGCAATTTTTTGTGGATTCTCATCATAGAACTCTTCATCAGTCTCACTTTCTTCGGTTTCTAGGTCACTCTCTGCGATAAGGGGCTCAGTTTTTTCAGGAACTAAGACAGGTGTTTCAGACATGCCCATAACATCCACATTAGAACCGTTGCTTATACGTCTATTTGGCAGTTTTTGTGTTTTCTTTAATTGCTTATTCTTTTTCTTTTCATTGCTTGACTCATCTGAAGAATCTGAGTCTGAAGAACTAGACGACGAGGAACCACTGGATGTGGAACAGCTGCAGTTAGAACCACACGAGCAACTCGAGTCGCTGTCGCTGCTACTGCTGCTAGATGATGATAAGTCACCAGTCTTCTTCTTTGGTGATTTCTTGTTCTTCTTTTTATCTGCGCCGTACACATCATCCTCGCCATTCATTTCCACCGGTATCAAACAATAATCGTGATCAGAATCGCAGACATGTTTTCTAATAGGAACTAATGGTGGCGTCTTCTGCTTTTCAACCTTGGCTTGGTATTTCTTAAAATTGTCCCATATTTCTAATACCTGTTTCTCATCAGGCTTTTCTTCTTCAGGTGGCTCAACATCTTCAAGTTTCGTTAGTGGTTCGACAGTTATACTAGATGGTTCCTTTATATCAGTCACTACACATTTGTCATCTTTTGAATCCTCTTCCATTTTATCCATTATTCCTTCTTCTTTTATTGATGGTGGAATACCGCTTTCAGACTCGTCGCTACTATCACTTTCAGACAGGTTTAATGCTGGTAAATTGACGTCTAACAATAATGCATCTTTATCTTTCAATTTTTTCTTTTTGCTCTTTTTTGACACCTGTTCAGTTCCAGCCTCTATTTTTATTTCAGAAGATCCTGCTTCTTCTTTAGGTTTTACATCAACTAAATCCAAACCTGGTGGAGGTTTTTTGCTATCTTCTACAGTTTTATCATCTGTAGACTTTTGGTCACTTGTAATTTCAACTATTGATTTCTTTTTATGTTCTTCTGCATGCTTTGCTAAAAGTTTTTTAGAGACAAATTTTTCTGTGCAGTTTTCTTCATTACAAACATGTGGAAATTCCTCAGAGTGAAACCTTTTATGTACTTTTAGGCAAACAGCTCTGGTGAATTGCAAGCTACATTCCTCACAAACAAAAACTGCTGGGGGTGAACAAAAATGATAAACATGAGGCCACTTCTTTTGTAGACACTTTTTGCATAGCACACTCTCTGTCCCATGTTTCCAAAATAAATGATTTGTTATATCTGGTTTATTTCTATATGCAATACCACACCGGTAGCAAAGATGGTGCAACTTATGTTTCCACACATGGTTTGATAAACGGGCTTGGCTTTGGCAAAATTCTAAACAAACATCACATGTGTGGTGAATTTTACGTAAGTGTACCATTAACCTAAAGGATGAAGAAATAGAGTCTACATTACACAAACAACATCTAAACCTATTTTCATATTCAGAATCGTATGTTCCAGGACACAAATGACATAATAACTCACTATAAGTATAAAAATTAGATTTACACATAATGCATAGCAAAATAGTTTTCTGGTGCATTTTGCGATTGTGTAAATAGAGATCTTTAAGAACTGCAGTTTTAAAGAAACACTGAAAACATTCAAATATATGACTATACTGCACTAACTCACACTTATCAACACTGTCATATGAGTCTAGATTAATGTAGACTGCACACACTTCTTCTACTCTTGCTTTCACTTTAGCTGCAATTGTTTGTGGCAGAAGTTCTTCTGCTGTGATACTATCCACCGTTGCGGAAAACCTGTGTTCTGCTATCAAATGTAAAGCAAGCTGCTCACAGTTAACAGCAATCTTCCGTGCATGATTGCAATAAATACAATTAATAACAGTTGAAGCTAAAAAGACCTTCAAGAGATCTTTAAGTGGATATTTATCTAATGGTCTGTCTAGTGTTAATTCTATTATAGGCATATTATCAGTAGGTGAAGGTTCTTCTACATTTAAAATATCTTCTTTTTGTTCAGTCTTGGGTTCTATTTCTGGATAAATATTTTCGTCAGTAATTTGTACTTTTTCTGGTGGCGTTTGTTCGGGTTCTGTTTTTACTTTGGGAGTTTCCATTGTAACTGTTGCTTCTGGTGGTTCATTTTCTGGGAACTGGTCTTTATGAGTATCTTGTTCTTGTGTTGCTATACTGTGCTCATCCATAGGTAATTTCTCACCAGCATCACTGTCAGAAGAATAATCAGTTGATGAATCTTTATCTAAAAACTCTTTGGGCACCCTAACAGTAAGCTTTGGTACTCTATTCAAAGTATTAGTACTCTCCTCTAGATTGTTATCATAGATAGTTGTTTTTATTGTGCTCTCAATTTTAGGTTCAATATCTTTTAATAATGATGGACCTGACTCCAAACTATTCATGTTTCGTTTAAGGGATGTCTCATTATTGTCTTGAATTATGGTAGATTTAATGAAAGGACTGTCAGCTTTATCACAAATTGTCATTTTTATAGAAGGTACCTTTGTCGATATTGGTGATTCCTGTAATAAATCTTTCTCATATCTTTTAGGTGGTCTTCTAACACGAGGTGGTGGTTTATATTGCTGTCCAATGGTTGGATCAACAGTTGAATTTATGATGACTGGTGAACTTGCACTATTTAGGCTCAATTTTAACTTAATACCACCTTCTTTTTCTCTTTCTGGTAATTGGTTTACTTTTTCTTCTATGCTTTTAGGGGCTGCTGGTGGTGGATGTATTTCTTCAGGTATTGGTGAGTCACTTTCATCTGAATGTTCTATATTTTCATCTCCATTAGGCATAGACAACCTACCACCATCAGTAGTGTCAGCATGATGAACTGGGGTCCCAGATTTTACATTCGAACTATCTAGCCCTATCACAGAGTCTAACATATTACTAGTGTCCTTGCTAGTAATGAGTGAACTTTCAGAACTAACACTTGTATCACTATTAACAGGTTCAAAGTCACTTGGTTCTATCATAGCCTTTTGGGTAGTGACTGTTTCAGGCTTTGCATCATTGGCTTCAACTTTATCACAAACAGGCCTAAATAAATCCTTACTTATTGGTACAGCAGAACCATTTTTAGGGGGGACATTGTCATTTTTAACATATTTTACATTATTAGGTTTCTTACTAACAAGTACAGGCACAGGCTTAGGTTTTACATTGTTACAGTCATGATTAAAGAAGTCATCTTGTTCACTGCAGATTTCATCACAAGCACAACACATCAAATACAATGTTCCATTGTAAACATTAAAGAATTCCTCCTTACTATTATAGTTAAACTCTTGTACATTATGCTTGTTTGTCAAGTGAGCAGAAAGTTTCTCTGCTTTAGAAAACATACCTAGGCAGAACAAGCAAATGTGTCGGTTGTGCATTTCTCGCATATGAAGGAAGAGATTCCAATTTTCATAATATGTACCGCAAGCTGAACATAAATAAACCTTTCTCGTAACTCTTGATGGGCCACCTGAACCAGTGTCTGAATTTGGAGCTGACTCTGGACTGAGGGCAGGCTCCTTGGCCTGTGCCCGACATATCAACTGATGTTCTTTTAACATGGCTAAGGTCTTAAATGACATGGAGCAACATTTACGACATTTAAACTTTACCATAGGCTGTAGACCTAAACTTTGGGCATATTCCTTCAACTGGGGTCCTTTCTCAGCCTTACCCTTTTTGAAATGTGATAGCTGGCTTTTAGGCACGAGACGCGGCACCGGTTTATCTTGCTCATTTTCCAATAAATTCTCGGTGGCATTGTGAAACGGATTACGGTCGATGCGTTTCGGCAAAAGCTTCGGTACACGAGGGACTGGATTTCTTGATGCACTTTCACTAGGTTTACTCACAATATGCTTTTTCTTTTTGCACGCACTGTTGTATGGTACTGAACTGTCAACGAATGGTCTCTTGCCGAGATGGATTCTTAATGGATTAATACGTTTTCGGAACTTGTCTTCTTGCAAAGCATCGGCGCTTAAGCGCCGCGAACCATAAAACGGCTCCGGGGGACTGGACGGCTCGCCCGCAAAATCATGTCCGTTCGTAGTCAATTTCGCGGGTCTTTCGCCGTAATAGTTCACCAGCGACGCTGAACTTAGTTTATCGTCTCTCGTATTGGTTATATTACCATCTTCCATAGTTTTCTGAAAAAAATTAAACACGTGCTTGCTACATTTGTCAAGAAACAAAAGACATTCAAACAAGAGGAAATCAAACCGATTTGAAATACGATAACAATAATAACAATAAAAATTGAAAGCGTACCTCTGAAATCGTACGTCCAGTACGAGTGCAATAATAAAGATTCGTTTCCATGCATCCGTTTAAAAAGAGCACTCCTTACATCAGGCCTAATAAGAGGCAGCCGCGGGCTGGTCATTCCCGTAAAATGGCGTCACTTTGCTGAGCGAGGATTGGTGATATCAGAAATATTGCACTGCGTTTGTTGGACATTTATCACTATATACAAACATACTTAATGTTTCATATTATACATATAGTCACAAACAAATTATATTAAACTCATTGCGCTGTTTATTTCCAAACACATTATCGAAAATCGTAGCGCATTACGAGAAGCTAATTCACGTCCCATAGACTAACATTTTTCTCTACGTTTTTTTTTAATCCTGTCATGGCGAACGCATTCTCAAACACGTGGTTGTGACCATAGGCAATAACCGCAGGCTTCTAAGTAAAAACCGCGCGTTTATATTACTCAAGATTTTAAATGGTAACTATGAAGATCTTATGTCAATCATTAATTATCTGTATCAGCGATTGATAAGAGAAAATCTATTTTAACTGTGGTTTGGTTGCAGTATACCACTGGAGGAGAGAACACTTATTTTTAGTTTTTATAATTTTATTTATTGAAATTTCTTTGTTTATGTCGTTTTCTTTAGACAATGCTGATTCAAAATGATGTCTGATCAGTTTAGAAAAGTAGAACCATATTCTCCGAAGTCCTCACCTCGAGGAGCGAGGTCACCAGTAGTTTCACGACAGGATTCTTCGGGAACCCTCAAGACTACTATCTCACTTGGCAAGAACCCTGCGATAGTGCATAGTGGTCCTTTCTATTTGATGAAAGAACCTCCAGGTAGCCACGGAGCATGTTTAAATTGCGAAGCACAAATAAAAAAATGTACACTACATATTTTATTTTCTGGATCTTTCAGGAGAATGTGAACTAACAGGTGCAACCAATTTAATGGCGTATTATGGTCTAGAGCACTCATATAGTAAGTTTAATGGTAAAAAGCTAAAGGAATCACTGTCATCTTTCCTGCCAAATTTGCCAGGGATAGTAGATGGTCCTGGACAAGAAGACAACAGTACTTTAGGATCAGTTATAGCAAAGAGGCCTATTGGTGGTAAAGAGCTACTGCCACTAACAAGTGCACAGTTGGCAGGATTCAGACTTCATCCTGGACCGCTTCCAGAGCAGTACCGCTATGTAAGTGCGGCTCCGCCTAAAAAACACAAAAGCAAGCACAAGAAACACAAACATAAAGATGGTGCACCTCCAGGCCAGGATACCCCTTTACAGGGTAAGTTTCTCTTTTCTAGTATTTACTTGTGTTGCCATATGTGTAGCCATATCTAGAAGCTTCTATGCCTATTTACATAAAAATTTTGTATTATTAATAAATTAAGTTACTATGCACTATAAAATATTATGTTTAGGTATCTTAATATTTCAGTGATTGTTTTCTTTTATAAATCATGATATTTTTTTGCTATTTTCCAATTTCAATGCTATGATATGTTTTGTAATAAGTTATAAAATTTAATAAAACCATGAGGTACAGGAATAGACTTGCTTTACTCAGAAGAAACAGAACTTTTTTCATAAACAAGTTTCTGACTTCCATTTTATTTAAACGACAGAATGTGTGTGAAACATTTTAGTGTATTTTTACAATTAGGAGAACTAAGTTAATAGATATATACAGCGTGTCGTTACCATCGCGACAATAAATGAACACACGTCTAACGTTACTTGCCAATAATCATAAAAAAATATTAACGTTAAACAAAATCCATAATTAAAAAAAAAATATTTTTCAAACAAACTAATTAAGTAAAAAAGAAACAAAATTTGTAACATCCTATACAACTCGCGTCACAGCGTCGTATTACAAGCCTCTCCTTCTAACAGTATGTTTTGTCTCTTTTAAATTCATTCAACCCATTCATATGCTTTGTGACCTTTACAAATGAACTTTACGTTATACACTTTTATAGGTAAGGGTGTCCTAAAATTCTTTGTTTTGGAAAATTTTATAACTCTGTAAATAATGATGTTTAAAGAATTTAAATGTTTAATACAACTTTAAAAAGTTATCCCCTATATGCATGTTCATTTATTGTCGCGATGGTAACGACACGCTGTATATGAAAATACCCACTGTCAATCCATATTTTAAACTAAAGACTTATCACAGTTGTCAAAAGCTCCTATGTTTAGACTATCCAAAATCACTTTTTCACATTTATATTAAAATCACTCACTACATAGTATAAAACAAAGTCGTCCCACTGTCTGTCTGTCCCTATGTATGCTTAGATCTTTAAAACTGCGCAACATATCTTGATGCACTTTTTTTTTACTAGATAGTGATTCAAGAGGAAGGTTTATATGTATAATACATTCCACCCGTGCTAGGCTGGGGTGGGTCACTAGTCTATAATAAAACTTTGTAGTCTATAATAACACCCAGTTTCAGTAAAAGTGATAGTGAAAAGTGAAAGTTGATCAGAATGATCAATTCTAAGAGTTTAACCATCCTTTTGGCAACTAAATGGAGTTTTAGAAGCCATTTGACAGCTGGTTAATTAATTAATTTCTACAAAACTAGTTAATTTCTATGGCGATAAGTGTTTTAGAAACCAGGGGTTAGTGAGTCAGATCAGATTGTCAATCAGATGTTTAGCAAAATGTTTACGCTACTGCGGAACATTGCGTTAGGTTTAAAATCTTCGAATCTCCAAATTCTGAAAGAAGACCAAGTTACAATCCTGGAGTGCCTTCTTGTTGAATTATTGTTTTGAACTGCATTTAGAGAGAATATAACGATCAGGACCACAGTTTCCTTTTTCAAATTATTTAAGTGTGTGTATAATAGATAAAGTTTTGTACCTGTATTAGTACATCTACTAGTTATAATAGATTTTAGATAAGATAAATATAAATTCCCTTGAATTACCAAGGAGGCTTGACGTCAGGCAGGTGGCCAGTCATAAAAATAAAGCCAAAGACTGAAATAACAACATGATTCCAAAAATAAATGATGGATATGTTGTGCCGACCCCACCTAGTGTGGGATTAGGGCATGACAAAGAAAGAAGAAGTTTACGCTACTATCAGTTATTTAAAATATGCCTGATATATTTTGGTTTAAGAAATACATTTATTTATCCTTTTTGGTATTTGTTTACCATTATTTTCAAAATGTTGAATAAAGAAGTTTTCACTTAATTTTAAGACCTTTTTAATTTTAATAATTTCTTGCAGACTCATCAAATCCAGACACGTATGAGAAAAAACATAAAAAGCAGAAGCGCCATGATGACGATAAGGAGCGCAAGAAACGGAAAAAGGAGAAGAAGAGGAAAAAACAAAAACACAGCCCTGAGCATGGTGGCCTTACACCAAGCCAGCACCCTGTACCATAAGGATTGCAATGAAATAGATTATAAGGCTTGTTTTTAGTGAGGTGCATGTAACACGGAGGGCAATGTTGTTATAATGATGATAAAGCTGTTTGTAGATTTTTCAAAATAATAGTAGGTCATGCTTCTTTGTGATCAACGTATGAAAATTTTCATTTCAACTTAAAAGTCAATAAAAATGTGAACATAGTATTTTAGCGTAATTCCCATTTTTGTGGTCAATTTTCGTCAATTAAACGCTATTTTATTGTTGGGCTGGGTTAGGTTTTATTTTGTTCTGCAAAATAGGTGTTACGGAACAAAGTTAATCTTACATATATGCTGTAAGGGTGTAATGATTATTGGCCAAAAACTCTACGACGATAAAAGGTAACTTCTGTAGATGATGTGCGAATATTGCAGTGCAAATGTAATGTTTCTACCTTGGATTCAATTGATGTTTTGAAGTACCTTTAATTGGATGCAATTTAACATTTTGAACACAATTTTGTTTCTGTTTCTCTTTTTCTACATCTCAGATTAATAAAAAAGTATAAATTCGAGCCTTCATACAGTTATTAACTCGGTATAAGATAAGATATCGGGAGATTTGCGCATGTGTGCTAAAGAAAAATGTTACCAGCATTGTGTTGCGGCTCCCAAGTGCGAGAGATATACTTAGATGAAAAGTTTCATTATTAGGCATTATTATGTTTTATTATATATACATAATTTACTATACCCAAGCTATTTAGATCATTTTCAGCGCATTGCCCAAATCATGGAAAACATTGAGCACTATTGATCTTAAAAGTCAATTGAGGTCTTGACTGAAACAGCATAGTGTCTTAGGTCTTTTTGAAAGTGGACAATTTTTGTTTACTTTTAAAATGATTAATGATTTATCCTAATGCAATCTGATTTGTTGAATTTGTAATAAAAGTGTAGGCTGTTATAATATTAATAATTTTATTTGTATTAAGTATTAACATAATTCAACTAAACTAATAAATCTTGACAGTAAACAATTAAATGCAAGTATATTTATAAATATATAATATAGTTATATTTGTAATCTCATGTTACCAATTTGTATGTTGCGATATAAGACTAAAAATGATAGAACTTTTTTTTGTATTAATGTCTTGCACAATATATGTACACCATGTTTAGCAAATAGAATTTAGCTTATCTTTCGGGGTAAGGGTAATAATTCTTAACTTGCAACACTAACAGTTAACACAGCGTCTAGAACTTATGTTCCGATTCTGAGGATATATGACAAATATTTTTACGTTTTTGTTTAAATTATAAAGAAAAACGGTTACTGACTATTGAAAAGTAATTTCAAAACACTTTTTTTTTTTTTTGAAAACATAAAATTGTTTTTGCAGGCGTTTCTGACACGGGACGGTTTAGTTTTAATAAAATAGTAATTGCGAAATTCTACGTCATGCATTCTTACTCATTGCGGCAGACTCCAAGTGAGTGTCTTCATATGAAATTCGTCTTCATATTACGTGCCTCAGCGCTCCTATGAGCGCAAAGTTCTGTCTATACTTTATACTTTTTTATTGGTCTGAGTTCTACAGCTTCTGAGAGAGGATATCGTCACTAACTAGTAATTGTTACTGTATCCAAAAATTTATTGAGTTTTTATAACTAGCTTACCTGCGACCTGTAGAAGTCAGAACAGCGAACATACAATAAGGGCAATCTTGTATTGCGACCGGTCATCACACCGTTTTTACTCATTGACTACAAAACAGTGCCTAATTGGCGCAATCTGATCAAAGTTTAGGTGGCTATATTCGGATTCGAATTTAAATAGAACACTAACAAGGAAATGAGCTGCATTCTAATAGGAAGCTTGAACCTTGTATAAGTTATGTTATTTCGGAGTTGCTGTAGCTGTATTTATAAAACTTCCTTCTCAACTCTTAAAGCTCTCTTTATTTGTTTTAATTTAAATATTTATTCCTGTGAGCACAAGTCATATTCTAAATGATCATACGACTAAAGCCCGGTTTCTGAAACACTGATCATCGTAGAAATTAACTAATCAGCCGTCAAATGACTTCAAATGTTATTTAAGTTGCCAAAAGGATCGCTATTTGAATTGATTATTCTGATCATTAAGAACATTATTCTGATCGATTCAGAGGGTTTAACCATCCTTTTGACAACTTAAATAACATTTGAAGTCATTTGACGGCTGATTAGATAACTTCTACGATGATCAGTGTTTCAAAACCGGGCGTTATTAGTCTATCATCATAAAATTAAATATGACCATTAACACTTTCTATCATGGATATAATTTGCGGTATTTAAGTTATAAAACGCTAATCAAATACAACACTCTTAATTCCAATATGTATATGAATGAATATATTATTGCAAAATTTTATACCATTTTTGTAATATTTATAAGTAATAGAAATGTATACCTAAATTAACTACATTAACTACGTGTTACAAGAAAAAAAATGCTAGGTACTAGAATTCATCCCCATTTAATTTGTAATATGACTTAAAGAATGGATTCTTTAAAACTAGAAATCCTCCAACAGCTTTATTCTTTAATTATTATTTTTATTGCCTTCCTTTACGAAATGTATCATAAGACTTGGGCCCAAAGAGATATTTATAATTTATATATTTCGGGATTAATGTAATTATTTGTAAAAATCTACAAATCGATTTTTTTTTCTGAAAATTCCTTAAATCAATTAAAAACCAAAATTTAAGACGTTTCTTTGGGCTTAAAATATCTCAAATTTTGTAGAATCTAAGTGTTAGATAATATTATACAGTAATAGATATAAATTTGTGTTTTTTTTTTATATTTAAGTGATGTGTATTACTAAGATCCGAAAAAATTTTGCGATTTTTTTTTTTTTTTGAAGTTTTAAAATTACCCTTAATAATTCCCTGTAATATTATATACACAGAATATTATGTCGGAAATATGAATAACTTTCAACAGCCAGATTTATTAGATATCGCATCGTTTCTATCTGTACTAATAAAAATAACTGTAGCAGTTTGATATTATGATAATATTATTCAGTTAAAGATTATTGTTTGCTCTATATTGTTCAGATTTCAAACTACTTGTATTGGGAATAGAATAACCTGACATTAGGGATCTTTTTTAAATGCGCTCAAGAAAAGATCCATTGTAAATAAAACTGATCGGCCAGCCACTCAATGTCATAAATTAATTGCAATTGCCTTGTTGATTTATTTTTATAACTCATTAAACTGTAAACAAACGGTAACCTTGAATTTTATTTTGACTTACTAGTTACTATTTTATTTTATGGTTCTTTATGCGAAACGATGGCGAGCAAGCATGCAGTTCTTATTGTTAACTATCTATAACACCTGTGAGATTTAAGACAGGGATAATAAAATACAAAAGCCGACTGTTCAGGATCAATATAAAGAAAAAAGACAAAAACATACCGAGCGAAATTTATTTAAAGTATCCAAATTTATACATTATTAAGTCTGTTTCGCTTCTTACAAAAGACTGTCATACTTAGTAATAATAAAACAATATAAATTAGTAATGCAGCACCAAAATACAAACATCATACTTACAAAATGATCACACAGAGATGTTGACCGACATTGCAGATATTTCGATACAAAAAAAGCCTTTCTTCTATATAAAACAGGCACATAGCGACAAGTTTATCCCTGGTTAATTTGCAGACAACATTGGTGATATGAAATTACGAATTAATTTGTTATACGAAATGATATTAAATAATTTCTGCTTTATATATCTTACAATTTACCAAACTAAAAACTGTCGCAATGGCATTTCGGTATACATCTGATCCGGCAGATTATTCTATGCCCGTCAACATCGCTCTCGCCGCGTATTGACGAAATTTGAACCTTGCGCTGACCTCACTCCTACTTTCATCTACAATGTCGACTCGTAACCTAAGACATTTGGTGCGCGATGGCACTTTACGTTAAATGAGCATGACTAATGCGCGGGAGTACGGGATTTTTTCGGCGGAAACAAAACGCGTTAAGTGCGATTCAAAAAGCTTTTTTCAAGACTTTTTAGTCATGACCAGAATCATACAGATCTTGCAGCTCTGGGTGTCGAAATATGTATGTTAAGGCGTCTTACCGTTAGCATCGCTGCGACCGAGTTCTTAGTCGGTAGTTGGTTAATTACAACCAATCAATAATAATATATGATCGCAACTCCGAAAATATGGACGACACGACATTACATGTTTTAGATATAAAAATGTAGTTTATATTTATACATCTAACGATTGGAGCGCCATCTGGAGTTTCCTTCAACAGTGGAATATTTTCCTACAATTTGAATACTACTTTGAGTAAGACCTGCATGCAAGACCGTGGTCAAAACAAATGTATTTGGTTAACATGTGATTCTCCTCAACGAAATCCGACACTCCCGCATAAAAACTATTTTAAATTTAACATGGGGCAGCCTCCAGCCCTTGGTGGTCACCATACAATATATTATTATTATGTATAAAATGATCTAAATAAATTCAACACATCTGTACATAGACACCCGAATACTGAACTGCGAACTAACGCTATTTTTGTGTTCAAACTAACAATATTCATATAAAAATATTATTTTTTTAACGACAGATTGCGTGGTAACTCTCCGGTGTTGAATCTCAAATAAAGAAACATTTTAGTTAATTCCAGGGCCAAATAACCGTGCACAGAATAGGGCTCTAAGAGAACATTCAAGGTTTGCACGGAATTCTAACATTAGAGATCGCAAAATGGACGTCCAATTTTTTAACAAAGATTGCTTACTGTGTTTCTTAGTATTGAGCAATCATATACATAAAGAGAGGAGGTCTAACTATACAATACTAAAATTATACACACCGATACAAATTAGGTTTTAAATGATTATAAACAATATTTATAATTTTATGTTTCTATGTCACTTGTGATATTTTTTAAATTAGTTTATATCGTGTAATAAAATTGTATCCTAATACTCATTCTAATGACTCCTAAATAAATATTATAATAAAATCAAATTGCAAAGGGATATAACATGTGAATGTGAAATTGGGAAATTCTAAATAGTCATTTATTCAAGTGAAACACCTATTCATATAAGAAGAAAAAACAAAATAGAGAATCTGTAGAAAATCAAATGCAGTTAAGGTGAAAAAATCATAATTAAAAAGCCTAAAGAGAAAACAACTAAAAATTCAAAGTTTAAAACTGTATTCTTTACAATATTCAGTTAACATTTTATATACTTGAATTTGTCAATTAGAATATAGTTTAATTGTAACTGACCTTGTTAGAACATCAGTATAAGTAAATACAGTAGTATTGCCGTCTTCTTGGCTCATTACCGATTACTTAATTTGAATGTTTTAATTTCTCTTGTAACTAAAACTTACTACAAACGCTCAGTCGCATTAAAGTGAGTAATATGGCAACTAACTTTTGTTCTTTGCAACAATTCTATTCAGAGTTGCGTTATCTGTATATTGGTGGAATTTATGTCAACAGCAATTGCTTCACAGGAAGATGGCAACACTAAACACCAGTTAAACATCCCTAGAAGTTATTTCATGTACAGTGCATTTGTAAGAATGGCAAGTTCAATTATTAGTACGAAGCGAAATATCGGCAAGCGAATTGCTTAGTAAATAAAACGACCCTATACAAATTATACGAAACATATTTATAATCATAACAAATAAATAATCAGTAATTATTCATTATAAAACATCATTAAATTATACACATTATTAATTATATTACAAAATTATTAATAAAGAGGCAGGAAGGAGTCATTTACAATAAAACTTTTGAATGTCGTAGGTCAAGTCAAATTCGCAATGTTGCCTCAACATATTTTCAACACAACCAAAATGAATATTTCGAAAATAAAGAATGAAATATAAATGCCGGGCCCAAAATACTCAGACAAATTCATTTATCATTTTATCAATAAATCCATAAATACATGTTACATCAGGACAGTGGGAGGGGTGGATGTTGAAACTCTTGCTCCTTCTATAACTTATTATAAAGTGTCGAGCCTCTTCTGTCCGTAAATATAAACTTCAAAAAAAATATTGTTAAGAAATAATGAAATAAGTAACACATTAAACAGATTACTGCACTGGTTCAAAAAACTGTTCATGTATCAAGATTTTTGTCACTTATTGAGCCTTTCTATTATGTATTACATTTACGTGTAATATAAAATAACGTATTATATATCTACATATCTAACGTATGGTAAATTCAAACTAAAATAGCAGATTTTCGAAATGTCCAAATGATTCCATAGAAAATTAGACTTTAAACGCATCATACTGAAATAATTTTTAAAATGTGTCAATGGAAAATATGTCAATGCAACAAAATCATTAATGCCACATATATTATAATTTAACATAAAATAATATGAATTCATACTTTCAATTTGTCTAGAAATAATATTAAATGTCAATTCGCGTTATTAGACAATAATTAAAATGTGCAATGAAACATCTAAACGCATTTCACACTATATATATAAATATATACATATACATTATTTCCACATATCTAGGACATAACATTGATTCATGGTGCCAATAGAAAAATCTCATCCAAGGCTATGACATTTCATAGATGGCTGGTTGAACGATTAGTGTGCCGTTGGGGCGACTCAATTTTGTCACAGCTCCTTCAGCAGGGCGGACTTGGCGTTCTTCAGTTTGTCCAGACGCTTCGTTAGATGACTGTTCTCCGTCTCCAACTCCTCAACTCGGTTCAGGGCCTCCCTCGCCTGAAAAGTTTACCATTCATTTATCACACACTCAATCCTAATCTGGAATGTTGTTATATATCGATTAATTTTTCAAGCGCACGCGAATTTTACATTGTGTTAATCTGTAAATACATTGTATGGCGTTTGGTTTTAATTCCGATTACAATTACTTACTTGCTGCCAAAATTAAAATTAAGTACAATAGGATTCGTAAATTTGTGTCGGTTTACAAGAATTTGTATATTGAAGTAAAATATCATCTTACTTGTATGTATATATATATATATATATAGTATCGATAAAGGGCCGTAGAAAATAAAATAGTGCGTTTAAAAAAATTCTTTCAATAAAGTATACATTATTCATCCTAAGGACATATTTGGTTATCAAAATATAATAACAAACTGTACACATTTTATAACATGCTTATTGTATAAGAGACAACAAAGTTATATGCGATATTAATGTTAAGAACTTATTCATTCCATCATTATTTACAAGGGTCAACTAATTTTTTAATTTTCTCTTACAATATGCTTATTAGTGATACATTCATAATATTATTCGATTTCATTTCATTATAAGCACAGTAGTGCAAAATTGGGTACATTTTTCAATTATGATTAGGGTGTGTTACTATGGCATATTATTTGGGTTTATTGGATTGGTTCGGAATCCCTATGTTGGTTCAAACCAAAACATGGGCAACTGTACATTCTGACCGTACCATCAGCTATCCCCGTTATTGATAACGGCCCAGAAGTCAATTACTTCCTGAAAACAGATTGTTTATTTCTATTTGCACAAAAAAGTCTAAACGGTTTCTAGAGAAGTTAATATTTTTTTATTACTAGCTAGTATTTTCAGCTTGTTCAAAATATACACTCATTTCTTTTTATGCTTGACAGACTGTAATTTGTTTACATTAAACTATGTCAATGATGAGCGTTTATTCACACACAGTATTGTCATGGTCAACAATGGATGGAAAACAGGCGAATCCAGTTTAAATTACATCGGCGATAAATATAACATTGCACATCGACCTTTGGAAAAAATCGGCTTATTTAATTTTCGTAGATCGTTATCTCTGTCATCCAATGTTCTGTCTCTGTCAGTGCTTCGTGCTAAATTAGCGGATTGTCTCTTTTTAATGGTTCTGGTAGCTGGTGAGCTTTTGGTTTGTTGAGATTTAGATGTGAGATTATTCTGTTCAATTTTGAACAATATGGGAATGGCTAGGTATACCTTAGGTTACCTGCTGATACCTTCAAACCAGAGCAGACATGGATTTATTGACCAGAACTCATGTGCACATGTGAGTGCCATTTAAGGCCTAATATGAATTACCCGCACAAAGACATTTACAACACCTGTAGTGATGCATCATATGGTGCTGCAATACTTATAAATCCGTAGAAAAAATAGTTTTAGATTTGTCTCCCGCGATTTTTATCATCCCGGGCGAGCCTTCCCATTCTCGAGGGTGACGTGCCTCGAGTTGATGTGCACAGACAACTGGTCGCGACTCGAACGAGTGGGAGCTCTTCACAAGTCAATACAATTCCACTCTCGGTTCGTGTTCCCGGACGAGCCTGCCCATTCGCGAGGGTGACACGTCTCGGTGGGCTGTCGGTTACCGGTAGGGCCGGTAGGGCAAAGGAGGGGGTGGCGTGGGGGGAGGGGGAGGAAATGTAGGAGGAATCGAGCGCGTGTGCAGCTCGGACGAACGAGGGGGAGGGACCTCCCTTGCGAGTAGGGCGAGGTGTAGGGGAGGTGTAGGTCTTCGGGCGACCTCTCGCTGCAGCCGGCGGCGCTCCTGCTTGAGCTGCTCCTCGTGCTCGTCCTGGTGGTCCTGGCGCGCGCGCAGCCGGGCCACCTGCGCCTCGAGGCGCGCCACGGCCGCCGCCTGCAGCGCCGCCTCCGCCTCCGCGCGCGCCGCCCGCCCCTTCGCCTCCGCCACAGACTTGCGCAGCGCCTCCACTGCGGACACCGATTGCAACTTATTCAATACATAACATAAGATTTTTTAAAATGAAAAGTTGACAACCAGTTGGTGGCGGTGATGGTTGTGATGGTGGTATTCGCCATGAGGGTGGTGGCAACTCACGCTCGCCGTCGTGGTCCCGATCGTGGTGGGGCCCGACGCCGTTCTGCCGCGCCGCGCGCTCCTCGTTGAGGCAGAGCTTCAGCTTGCGCACCTCCGACTCGAGCGCCTGTTTCGAGCTCACCAGCCGCTGCAGCCGCACGTCTGGAAGACGACAAATTCCCTTTATGTTTAAAGATCTGTCCCCGAATCTAGATTTTTGTATAAATTAAGCCTTTAACAACCCGTGGAATAGAATCCATTATAATTAGCATATTTCTTTCCAACTTTTGTTTAAGAGGCAAGCATCCACGACGAAAGTACACGAGCATACTGGCGACTGACATCCGCGCGTTTCAGTATGGCGCAAGCTGTGGATTGACCAGCATAACGCGGTGTTAAGATTTTTATGAAAACCGCGCCGAAGCCCCGCCTCCGCTCCCCCCTCCCCGACCCCATGCTTTAGGATTATCTCTTTCGGAGAGTTGATAAAACTGACTTGAGCTTCCCTCGCCGGCGTCGTTCAGCAGCCGCTCCGAGTGGTGCGAAATCAGCCCGAGGGGGCACAGCGCCTCCACCCCCCGCCTCCGGCCGGCCACACTTACCTAACGTGCCCTCGCCGGCGTCGTTCAGCAGCCGCTCCGAGTGGTGCGAGACGAGCGCGAGGGGGGGCACGGAGCCGAAGCCCCCCTCCGCCGTCTGCGCCTCCACGTAGGCGTAGCCCGCCTCGGCGGCGGCCGCGTCGCGCGCCCTCACCGCGTCCCGCGCGGCGGCCACCTCCCTCTCCAGCGACGCGTGCTCCCGCCTCAGACGCTCGTGGGCCGAGCACTTCTCCCTGTGCTCGCGCTGGGAGCGGACGGTGATAGGATCGAATCATTTTTAAATATAAGCCGCGTTCTGCGTGTATACTAAGTTTTTTAGGTGACGTTTAGCTTCTTGTTAACAGTGAAATAAGAGTATCGAACAATCGTGTTAGGGCCATGCAACGGTCTTCGTTGTTGCACGAATGCGCAGCCTCTTCCGTGAGTACCGCGACCTCACGGAAGACCGGCGTAACTGGGGAGTGAGGTGGCCGGAGCCCAATTTTGGAAAGGTTGTCAACGCATCTGGAACCCTCGGGTTTAGCAGATGTCCATGGGCGGCGGTATTCTTTTAACATCAGGTGAACCGACTGTTCGCATGGCAACTTTCACATAAAAAAATTTGTTCAACGAAGTAACAAATGTACGTATCATCTATCGATAGTCGTTTTTTTTAAATCTACCACCGTCTCGTAAAGAGGTTAATCCTCTAACGGAGAAGAAATAAGCGGAAGAAACATTCGATGTTTCTTACATTGGTAAAACATACTCTTTTTTGTCATTGGTACAAATATAATATATACATATAGGCTGTTACTTTAAGTTAATTAATTTGGGCGGTTACTTTTTTTGTGGTATAGAGGGGAAATCTTCAAAAGTAAGGGAGTTCTTACCCACTAAAAACCCCTCGGTGGCCACCTTTTGTACGTTTGGAGGGACCCCGATATCTCCTATGGATCACACCGGTGACCACACTGAGCACGCATCGGAGAAGTGTAAACTTCGATAAAGGAGGCAGGAGATACCTTAGCCTTATTCTACGAGCCCGGAACTACAGGGCTGTCGGGCAGTTACTCATGGCTCACCTGCAACTGCGCATACTCCTCCTGCAACTCCTCTATCCTGTCTTTGAGCAGCTCCAGCTGGTAGCCGAGCGCCGCTTTGTCGTTGTCCAGCTGCGCGTTCAGGATCATCGCCTTCCGGAACTTCTCCTCAACCTCTTTCAGCTCGTGCTGGAAACACCAAACCGTTAGCGGTGATAACACTTCCCAGCCCTCGGTATACATTGTCTATTGTCTTATGTTATATTCCCATTTATAAAGGTACGCCGATATAATAGCTGTATATTAACATAATGTATACGTGAAGCAAAAACTTTGAACACCTTTTTTACGAAAATTGCGGAGACGGAGGAGTATGACACTTCCCATATTTATAGTTCAAATAGAGAAGGAGTGCAGAAAGCTAAAGCTTTTTAAATTTATGCATAAAAATGCATTAAATCAATAAAAAAAAACATTACACTCTACCATGTATAATTAATTATGGTCGAATTACGACCACTAGGTGACCACTAGTTCAATGTTTTGTTTTAAGTAAAATGGCCATTGTCCTTATAAATTGTATTCCAATTTTTAAAAAGAACACCTATATTTTGGAGGCGCCGCTGTATATTTAATACTTATTTATTTTTCTTTTTTATTTATTTATTTAATTACTATGAAAAAAGTACTTTTTATTTATTTATTTCCGTAAATCGCAACAAAAATGTGTAGGCGTTGTGTGCGATCAATTAAGAAAGGATCAATAAAGAGGGCTATGAGTAGTGTCGGTTACCCTCAGGTCCTTAATGCTGAAGACGTCATCGGCGGAGTCCTCGGAGCTGCGCCGAGGCGAGTGAATGGACGGACTGAGAGCGGCTAGCCGACCCCCACGGCGTCCCACCGTCTCTGTTTCCGACGATTTCTCGTTAATAATATACACAGAGTAGCGAAATGAGGGAGAGACGTGTCTAAGTCAATGATTCCTTATTCAATTTAAGAATATATTCAAGATGTCGATGATGAGCTATTGCATAAATCAAGACGGGTGTGATGTTTTTTATGTGAGAAGGTGGTGGCAAGCGAGCTGGCGGTTCAGCTGATGTTAAGTAAAAATCTTTGCATTGCATGATCCGTTGGGACGCAAATGCGTTGCCACCTTTAAATAAAAGTGGGCCCCGGCTACCTCACTCACAAGACGAAACGCGACCGTGTAACACTTCCACTTCACGCCGGTCTTCTTGGTCGTGGTTCTTAAACGGACGGACCTGCCCATTCGTGAAGTGGAAAATTTCTACTTCCGCGATTCGTTTGGTAAACGAGATAGCCGGAGCCAACTTCTTTGAAGATACGCAATGCATATACATCGCCGCAACGTTAATCGCTTAGCTTAGCGAGTTTTCACATGACACAGTGATTAAGTGAAGCTTTTAGATGGCAATTAATTTAAGAATACATGGCATTATGAGCGCGATGACTGCGCTGAGATCTTGGAAAGGTAAAGTCGAAAGTTACGACAGACTGTACATCACTGGAGGAAAAAGCAGCTTGCATCTTTTTCGCTTATCAAACATGTTATATTCACTATTGCCTAGGTGGTAGTACATTCCTGGGGATGAAACAAGTTTATGTCTTTACAGCGTCAGGCTTCTGGAAGAGTATAAAAGACAAGACACCTGATGTGGATGACGAAGAGAGTTGACCCCATGGCGAGTTACACATTAAAAGTAAAGTAACGGCCTATATTTCCCTATTAGCGTATATTTTCCTATTAGGCTTCCCCTGTATAGAAGGTATTAGGGCATAGTCCACCACGCGGCCCCACGGCGGATTTCATATATCTTCGAAATATTTTCCTTTTGTATTATTTCTCAAATATGCAGGTTTCCTCGCGGTTTTCCTGAGCACGTGATAATTCAGCACTTAAAATCAACAATTTCATCGGTGCCGGCACCGGGGATCGAACTCGGGTCGCTCGAGTGTATTGAATTGAGACGCTCGCTCACGGCTCTACAGTTAGTCAGTCCGATATGGAATTTGGAGTGAACTGTGTGCAAGTGTGCACCGTGGGCCGGAAAACGAGCTATCACGGCTCTTCAGTTACTCAGTCCGATATGTTATTTGGAGTGCACCGTGTACGAGTGTACACCGTGGGGCGCGTCACCTGTGTACATGTCGAACGCCTTGTCCGCATGGTCCTCCTGCTCGCGCTGTTGCCGCTCCAGCTCTCGCATTCGGATCTCGCGCGCCTCCGCGCGGGCAGCCCGCCGCGCCGCCAGTCGCTGCTCTGCCTGCGAAAGCGAAATAAATAATAAGTAAATATGACATGATGATATACATGACGCATGTCCACACTGTGCGGCGTTTAGAAATTGCTCCGCTTTACATTATATGACATTGAATGTGACAGATTATACTTAACGTATGATACGTTTTATAACGATACGATAACGTTTTTATAGATGGTTGGTACGGAACCCTGATTGCGCGAGTACGACTCGCACTTGGTTCTCTTGACGTTCAATAAGAGCAAGAGCAATTAAAACAAGCCTGTAATGAATAAAGAATCTTTACTTTAACTATTAATTGAGAAACAACAACCACGAGAATGTACGTATCATTGCTGTAAAATATATTGTAGTAACAAACTGAATAATTTTCGGCCCCATCTTTCATAGTACTCCACAGGGAAATAATTTAGTATGCCTAGTACATACTAAATAATTTTTCTTGGTACTAAAGTAAAAAGTAAAGTAACGTAAAAGCCTATAAATGTCCCACTGCTGGGCAAAGGCCTCCTCTGTAAAGAGGGTATCAGGGCATAGTCCACCACGCGACCCCACTGCGGATTTGCGGACGTCACATATTTACGAAATATTTTTTTTAATTATTATTTCGAAAATATGCAGGTTTCTTCATGATGTTTTCCTGCACCGCCGAGCACGCGATGATTCAGCACTTAAAATTAATAATTCGATTGGTGCTGGCACCGGGGATAGAACTCAGGTTGTCCGAGTAAATGTAATTAAAGGCGAGCGCCCGGACACTGAGCTATAATATTAATAAACCTTGGTACTACATAATATTAATAATAAGCCGCCATGTAATAAGTAGGCAACAGACAATTATATAATCGACGACGATTTGAATATAGACCTACAAAGTTAACAATAAACGGTCACCAGTCAATCGAGCATCTCCATTACAAAAGCTGCAGTCATTACAAAAGCTTCTGTATGGATACTTAGTCGACGGCCGTTTCGATACCCATCGAGCGGAAGTAATCAAAAGTGCAGAAACCGTTTTAGCGAACAGTCATCGCTGTGCGGGCGGAAATTTGAACAATACATGAGGGCGCATGGGCATAGGTAAGTAAAACTGCTGGCTATATTCCATAAATGACACAAGCACTCGCGTCCGTTGGCTAACAAGGTATAAAGAGAAAGGTATGTACGTTTAAGCTGACTTATTTAGTCTTAAAGGCGAGTTATGTTCCTGGTGGTCGTACACAAACGGTTTTTGCAAGTGCAATTCGAGAGAAAATTATAGTTAGCATTTGGCTATTTCCGTCCTTCTTTCGTCGGGAGAAGTACCATAGCCTAACAGATTAGGTATAAAGTATAAGTGTAATAGTAATATTTTTTATTTGTATATATTACACTTTTTTATTCCATCTGAGGAGTAAGGTAAACACGACTCGCCGTCCTAAAGGCTGGTTTTATCTGATGTCCAAGAGTGGATGTAATCACTTACCGTCGGTGAACCACCCGCTTAATTGCCATCTTATCTTATAACGTAAGAAGTCTTTTGCGTGTTTCGCGGTCGAGCATCCAAGCGACGGCCTCTTTAAATAAGATATTCTGCATGATTTGATATTGACGGCCAGAAATAAATACAGATTGCGCAACATCATGGGGCGGGTGACGCCTCCCTTGACTTCATAACGACCATGACTGTGGCGAGGGTGCATCTACAGAGAACAGGAATAATGTAAAAAAGCCACTTATTTTAGAAGACTTTTATCTAATGCATAGCGTAGAAAGGAATTGGGCGTCAGTGCCGCCCACAATGCCACCATTTCCAAAAGGAAGTACAATTGATAGTCTCGTAACAAAAGGCTATTTGTTGTGACGTGAATTTGCGCTACACGACTACAACTTATGGTCGGATGATCTCAGAATCAGTGGAACCTTTTCAGTCGTCACACTAAATACGCCTAGATTACTTAAGTACAATTAGGCAAACGCATTACTATAAACAATCTAAAGCTAAACACAGACATGATAAAATACATATAATGGAAAAATATTGATACTTGTATGGTGATGATTGGTTTTTAGGTAACAGAGTTTCCACGACTACAGGTCTTTAAATATAATCAGCACTCTGAGTGGATGAGACTAAAATTGATAATTTTACTAAGCTTTTAAGCTGGCGTTAGCTTCTTGTTAACAGTGAAATAAGAACTTCAAGCAACCGTTGCTAGGGCCATGCAACAGTCTTCGTTGTTGCACGAATGGGCAGGTCCGTCTGGGAAACCACGATCTCACAGAAGACCGGCGTGAAGTGGAAGTGTTATACTTCTGAGTTTCGTCTGGTTAAAGAGGTAGCCGGGGCCCACTTTATCAAAAAGTGGCAACGCATCTGAAACCCTACAGGTGTTAGTTATATCCATGGGGGCGGTGAATAAAATGAACCGCCAGCTAGTTTGCTTCTGCTACAAAAAAAATCAAACAAAAACTCGCGCCTTTCCGTAGCTGGCGGTTCGGTCCGTGGTATTCAATATATCAGGAGGTAAGACAAAATTATACGCGATGCTATCCGTAAAAATATGCACCACAAAAGAAAATGTCGTCAGTAGAGTTAATCCGAACTAAACTAGTTACCCAGATAATTTATTGCCCACAATAACACGTTAATGTCCGAACCATTCGAGCGATAACCTAAAACGGCCTTTGATAAAATAAACATGGCGCGGAAAAAATGCTATTGTTTCTTAAATACCATGCATTTCATAAACGCAAAACTATTGGTCATTTACTTCGGCGCCGTAGGTCTTTGGTTCGATTCCCACAAGGGACAACTACCTATTTATTTTTATGCGAGAAGGTGGCAAACGAGCTGACTGTACAGTGTGATGTTAAGTGATAAACCTTCTTCTCCGAGTATATACGAGTATGTCTCCGAGTATGAGTTTTGATGTATAAACATTAATAAATTTAGAATTTATTACCAAATATTACAACATAAAACCGTATTTTAATTGTTAATTAATTTTCGCAAAGAAATAAACCTTAACCTCTCACGGCCTTACGTCCAAGTGTAAATTGGTAAGTTTTTTTAACGCATACCCTTTCTTAAATCTCTGTGCATTGTCACCTTCTGTGAGATTGTAGTACTTACCCGGACGGACCTGCCCGTTCGTGCAACAGCGTGACCACAGTTTAATCAGAACTGCGGTAGGTTTTCTGCTGTTTCTTTGTAGCAGATATGAGGTTTTTATGTTAGCAAAAATCATAATGGAGTATAGTACAGTTGGCGCGCAAGCAATTGGTCGCACAGTTAAGAATGACATCATACTCTGTCAGAAACAGCCTGTCTGGCGATAATTGGTAGGTGGGACGCAAACTATACGCTTCAGTTATGAGTTTACACTAATTACAACGATCTAGAACATTATATGAATCCTGGGACTTTCAAATGCCGAACTGAATTTGACGCGGAAGTCCGCCAAATATAGTATTTTCGTGCAAAGGATGACGCCATACAATATAACAGAGACTAAGTATATTAAATGTTTCGCAGATATTATCGCGTTTTAATTTTATTTTTTAATTACCGACGTTTCGAACCCATTCCAGCGTTCATGGCCGGTCCCGTGACGTGAAGAATCATTCTTCACCCTTGCAGTTGATGGGCTAACAAACTCAGAATTCCACAGCAATCGACATACTAAACACAGCAATCGACATACTAAATTAGTCATTATTTTAAAAGTGCGAACCGCTTGGCACCAGCTCGGTAAAGACTATAGTAAACTCTAGGGCTTGTCAAGAAAATTCCATAAATATTTATCTCAATATTTTACGTTTCTGCATCTGCGGTTTTATAATTTTAGCTTCCAAGCGTCCTATTAACATTTTTAGGAGCTCAGCCCCATCTTAAGCCCAAGTTTATAGCTTAACATGAGTAATAATGCAAGAGTTCCATTCCTATGAATAAGTCTTTATGACGTAAACAAAGCAGGACATCCGTGCGTCAGGTGAATATAACTTGATCAGTTGCCAAATCATTGATATTAAAGCAAGCAAAAATTAATAAAACAGAATACGAGTTATTGTAATAATTGGCTTCTTTGCACCTACTAAATATACTCTGTAATAGTATTTTTTTTCTAAAACACATGCTCATAATTATGTAAAGTATTGTAAAGCTATTTGGTGCGAAAATAAGGGTCATACCATTTCCTGGCTGTCCACAATGAACTATGTCAATGGCCGGTAGTGTTAGTATTAGAGTCTTAATCTCAAATGTTTGCATTTGACGACATTGCTAATGCCGGATAAATAAATGAGGTCCGCAAGGCAGTTGCGAAAGGTGTGTTATATAGAACGTGCACTGAGGAATCTCGCCCAGAGCGACACGTAAAAGACGACCGTAAAACCTCCTTTATTGTATAGACTTATGGTCTATATTCATAAATCACATATTCTACATATTATTAGAGATCGTCCAAAGTAACTGCATTATTATAAGTAAATAATAATTCGGTGAAATGCTATTGAAATATGTGCTCAACATGCACTATAAAGAAGCCGACAAAAACAGTGCAATAACCATTTCAAAATCTAGACTCCGTACATCACAAAGTTTTTCCGGGCAACGAATATAACATGGCAAAGGTATAAGCAAATAAGCCGAGGCCACAAGTTTCCAGATGACAACCGTAAGTTAAACAAAGTGTGAACACGACATAGGCATGACGTCACCGAGACTAATAATATGTGACTCCCGCTATAGATTGTAAGGACGGACGAGTTTCAGTCAAAACTTGTTATAATAAAGTTGAATTAGGTGCACTCTGCATTTTAATGTCCACATGTGAAGGTCATGTTTGTGAGGAAATTTTAAAGTGTAAACGAACCAAATATCTAAGAACTAAGTTTAAATCAAGAAATTAAGCTAGCAATGCTTCAAACGTTGCTCATTTTATTGGTACGATAATATTCGTATTTTCCAGGTATTACAGGTCTGAGTTCACAAACTTCATATCAATTGGACGTAATGGTTAGTAATATAAATATTCTTATATTAGATCCTTACAGATACCTAAAAGATAACCAGATTAACTGTTGTGATGCCACGCAACTGCTTCTTCTGTTGAGTGGGCAGGCTGGACCGGGGAGGTAGGTACCGCGGCCTCTCTGAAGATCGTGGTGAAGTGGAAGCCGTAGCCGACTTTTGTAAAGATTGGCAACGCAACTAAAACCACACAGATGTTGCAGATGCCCTTAAGGAGCGGTAATCACATAACATTAGGTGAACCACCTGCTCTCTCCCTAACTTATCCCATAAAAAAATAATTTTTGTGAAAGAAGATAAAATGACAAGATTACTATTCGAATTCCAAGTATATTCTTCTATGTTTATGTCCACAAATATACATTTCAATACAAAGTTGTCTAGTACAAACGTTATGGCTTCGTACATTATGTAAAAGGTAATATCACAAGTTGTAACTTTTCGCTGATCAAATTTTCTATGAGAATTTGATGATAAGACGATCTAGATTATACCTACTTTGCGTCGCTTAAGCTAACATAAAATAAGGAGGATCATGAAATTTAACGAATGCACTAAGCTTGAAGAGCTAAAGCATTCTTAATTTGTCAAGCCGATGATATGATTCTTTACCTGAAATGACGCAAATACACGCACACGAGAAAAAATATGTAACACACAATCGTTCACACAACTAGCGATTATCATTGCGAATTTCGATAGATTTTCGCACGGAGCAGCGCACGCAAAATTGGGCTTTAAGAACTCGCGCGACGGACACTCACGTAGAGCAGGAGCACCCTGGCAGCCGTTCGAAGCAGTAGGTCGACCGTCAACATGCCACAGAGGCGAGGACGCCCTGCGCTACATTAGACACAAGTGTCTACCGCACGCGCCGCACGTGCACTGCTGAGCCCTGAATATTATTCACTATACGTGTTATATAACATTGTATGCAAATATTCTATATAAAAGCGACCTTAAACTTTTGTCGACGCATATAAGTTGACCATAGCCGTGTCCTTTATCGAGAGATCAGGTATGTCCTAATTGCGTAATCAATAACGTACTGCAAAAAGTACTGAAAAATTATATTCTAAGAGTCGATTTGAATGCAATCAAACCTCGACATCGGAGGTCGACAGAGAACTCGGCTAGCGCGGTTTACGAAACACGCGTGAAAAGTAACTCAAATATTAACGAAACGACCACAAGGCCACTCGACCGCAAATAAAGTAGCGGCAAGTGGCGAACTGTAGTTATTACATGGGCACTTGCCGCATCGAGACGGTTAAGCAAACGGGCGGTCACGAATTGTAACATGCAAATTACGATGGCACAGTGTCCAAAGGCGCCATGGGTGTTTACGTTACTAAACTAACAGCGTTAGAACAAGCGGACCATGTAAACAACGTTCCAGAACCAAGATAAAGTCCGTAACGGCCTTCCGATTTTTCGTTTCAAGGAGGGCGATGGAAATAGATAAGATAAAACCTCGTATCGTATCTTGATTAAGAACAAAGAAGGTGGTTAAGAAACAAACAAAATTCCATGAGCAAAACATAACTTTGATTTTTACATCACATATTGAATGAGTCAGATATTAATAACAGAAAAGATATTGTCAACGATTGACGCCGTGACTAAATTGCAAAGAATTCGCATATTGCACCTTTATGATTCAACACTAAGCTTGTGAAAGGAAAAGTGCCCTTTTAACGAGAGGTCGAGTTTCTACATATTACAGTACCGTAGCCCCGTAATTATGTACAATTTCTCTTTACGTACATGGGTGTGCTGGTCGCCGAGAATCCCGACTATCGACGGGCCGATCTCGTCCTGCGAGTCTGTTCTAGCGTCCGCGACGTCTCGCTCCACATAAGCGTCCGTGTCGTTAGCTCGAGAGCCGTTTGCCATTTCTAACGCTTCAGTGCCAGTAACGGCATCAACGTCTTTAGCATGATGTGGATCGTCACTGCTTTCTTCGTCTGCTCTATCGATAGTGGCGCCGGCACCCCGGTTCAAGGTCTCGTTGACTGGCACATGTGCCGTCTTTACGCTGTCGGCGCGCTCTACGACGGCCCCCTCGTCGGAGTCGTCGAAGTCACCGTCGGTGAACGCCTCCCCGCTCTCCTCGTCACTGCTGTCGGGCGTCAGATCCGATCTACTGCCCATGGTCATCGCTCATACACACCTCACACTAATAACCCACAGTCTCTTTCCATCCGTCTGGGTCGCATCGAACACGGTATTGCAACACGCGCATAGAAAGGGAGGACACGCACGAATTTTTGCACTGCAATCGCTTCGGTCCAGCGATAAAATGTCCCCGGTTCGTTTTTATCTTATCGGCCGATTTCCACTTGAGCGTCACGCCGTCCGCGCACTGTCAGTTCGGTGGAGACGGCCGAGGTTTGAGATCCGACGCGAATGCTCGTTTACTGTTGTTTGTTTGTAAACACGGGCGCGTCGACAATGGGTTTGTTTGTCGTTCGTTATGTTGGAATGCCCGTTGCGTTGTCACACGACACGTGCGCCCCCGGTGGCGTCGCGGCCCTACTGTCGTGTGTCGGTTTGCTCGGCCCGCCGCCGCTTGCGCTGCCGCTTTTGCAACCGCGCTGCTCCGTTACGCACGCGGAAGCGGATGGCGGCGGTCGAATGGAAAACTGAGCTATTCATACTGGCTGGTTAACTGCAACCGTTTATAAAATAATTGCGATCGATTCGCGGACGCCGGATTCGTTGCGGAGAAAAATTTCGCGCTCGATATTTAAATTTATTATAATTTTATTATTTTTTCTTTTTTCTGCACGGTGGCCGTTACCCCGATGGCGGTAAGTTACGATTTTAGCATCAGCGAAATTTATGTAAACAATTTAAGTTTCATATTTTCATGTTAAGTTCCGAGACTTGTATTAGACTTTGACACCACGCAACCCCATTGCTATTATATTATATTATCTTATCACTTCGAAAATGTGTAAGATTCCTCACGATGTTTTCCTTGGCCGCCGTCGCTTAGATCAGTCAGCGCTTAAAATTGCAAATAACAATTTCATTGGCGCTAACCGGAATTTTAAATCAGATCAAAAAATGGCATTGATCTATTACGACCTTTAAAAAATAATTATCAATATAGGCAATATTGGAAAATATATCATTGGAGCCAAAATCGTTTCTATCATCGATATGTCGTATCGACACCTTTATTCTACTGATTCCTAAACCTCACGAATCACACTAAACGCAGCCCGCTTCCGTCCGTAGCGAGTAGATGATTAATTGCCTATTGTTTTACTTAGGACCGAAAGGGGTTGCCAGGTTGTCCTTAAATTACGGGACCAAAGTGTCGAACCATCAGCAATAAGGCATTATGCATATTTGACAAACCTCTAACCGCAGCTTTGCCAGCTAGTTCCTATCGAAATAAAATAAGTAACAAAGTTCCATATTTATGTTAAGGGTGTCTACAAGTTATTTCAAAGAGAAAGTTTGTTCAAATCCTCACTGATATTTCGAAGTTAAGGCACAAACTCGCTCATACAAAAACACTCGCACTAACAGAATTAATACTTTTGCTATAAAAATCAAGCTTGGTTTATTTCTAATCTTAGAATTCAGAAAATATAAGGGCAGAAACTTAGATCTTAATTGCATTCAAACATTTATATAGCTCGGCAATCGCTCGGCAACCGATCAAAACGAATTCTTCGAACGAATCATTTAAATTAAAATGAAACATTACACGTATACATTACACATGGCCATATAATCCTAGATGTAGGTTAAATTGCTATTTGTGTCCATCGAACGATTTGTAACTTGACAACCCGTCATCATATTTCCAGGCGGTGCATACGTTGTTTAACTTACATTACATTAGTGGAAAGAACACATTTCAAAGTGTATATATACCTAAAATGATTACTTTGTCCTTTGATATGTATATATACGAAGAGTTCTATAATATCTTATTATAGTTAAAAAATTTTCGGGTTTGAAATTTTCTACTTTTCAAACCCGAGAAAGAATCATTTTAATAATGTCTAATAATTACGTATTGAATATACATAATGTAAATCAACCCACATATTTTCCAGTTTACTAAATATAATTTAAATACGTCGAACAAATAGTACGAAATTTGAGAATCCTTTAAACATATCTACTGACACTATTAAACAAAACATCATTATTTACATTTACATCATCTATAAAATTACCTACGCAAATTCATTATTTAATAACAGTGTTAATTTCTTGTTACGGTAACATCATTTTGATGACTTGATGAATTAAACATACATCAGGCGCACAATCTAGCTGAGCGACTCATTACAGCGCCACAAGACCTTAAACATGGGGCAGGTTTCGTCAAGTTGTGCAATTAGAGAAACAGGACGTCCGCGAAAGTAGGAAACGTTTGGCGAGCCAAGTGCGCGCCATATACGTCGAGGAAGCGGCCGCAGGGCAGATTTACGTCTTCCACGCAGACGTAGGGACGATAAACGATTGTTTCCGATCGTAAATCGCGCGCGGAACTTAGCTATGCTTCGAGCCGGCCTAAGATTAGCACGAGCGCCTTAATTACGTCCCCCCAAACGATGGCGTACAATTGCCAAGAAAGTGTGTGTTACAGCGAATTCGTCAATAATTAGTAGACACAAGGTTGGATTAGAAAACTCTATTTTGTGTCCATTAATTTATGAAATCTTTTAATTATTTTATAATCTATATGTTCCGTCTTAACTCTGGCCAAAAGGCCTCCTTCCATTTCTTCCACTAAAAACACCAGAATTAAAGGCAATAGGTGTATAAAATTAAATGTATATAAAAACTATGGTGACTATTTGTAAACGACTAATAACTAATTTATAATATTATGTAACAAAATTATATATTATATATTCTAAACTGATTCGTTTGCACTAATTTTAAAAGCAAATTAAAAAGATTCCTTTATACATGTTCTGCATATTTAAGCGTACAGAATACTTTAGAAATAATTTTACAATCTCCTTTCCTTTTGAATATAAAAACATTCCACGACGAAAACGTCTCTGAACGACCAAATTAACAATGGAATTCTTGAATTTTAGACGACCGGCGTAGTGGGTAGTGAACTTGCCTCTGGCACGAGAGGGTGTGAGTTCGATCCCCACTACTGGTAAAATATTGTGTGATGAACATAGTGTTTTTCCGGTGTCTGGATGTTAGTATATGTAAAATATGTATTTATTTACAAAAATAAAAGTATGTTTATCAGATATCCAGTACCTATAGTACAGCGTTGCATAGTTTGGGGCTAGAGAACTTTGTGTAAAAAGGGTACAAATTCAAAAAAAAAAATTACATGGTACCTGGTAATACCATGGTAAAAAGAGTTTTAATATGATACGTACAATTTAAATTACATCTCAATAGTTTGTTTCAAATTACCTTTTTTTACACTGTTATCACACGTAGCTCAGCTAGCTGTAAGCTTTAAGCCTTTAATCGTCCACGCTAACTGGACATTTACATCGTAACCATAAAGTTGTTCAAATTTCACCACTACGTGTCGCTCAATTAATGATATGACAACTGAAAAGGTAAAAGGTACTGATATCGTTCCCGCTCACACAATGTATCGTCGACCTGAGCAGTGTGTTACGCGATATACAATACGCGATATACAAAGACTGATAATTGTCTACCGTGCGATGTTTTGATTACATAATAGGGTTCACTTGAAACGGTAGCAGGCGTTTATTTTCTATATTCTTTGTATAGATTCCAACGCTTGCAACCTTTTTTATTCACGTTTAAGTTTTGTTTTAATAGTTAAGTCTACGCAAGGACCGATTACGTGATGAACTGAAGCACAATATCAATCCCGAAATTTTATCCCTTTATCAAGAACTTTAACTACTGTGATAGCAGAAATATGTCAAAAAAGAAATCTTTTCGTACTTTTTCTACATATTTTAATGTTCAATCTTAAATGCACAGCACTATAAAAAAATTTAAATTACTAAAAAAGAAATGCTTTTAACATACATAACATGCTATCATGCATGCAGGCTCATGGTGGGATTTTTTTATTTCAAAGGCATGACAAATCAACAATCTAAACAGGATAAAGCTATGCATTGCTACAAATGCAATAATAACAAAGTACCTAAAGAAGACGTCTAGATAGACGTCGCGCGGTGAGAATGTCGACCGCTTAGCTTAGTGGCAGGAGCTTCGAGGTAGATAATCCGAAAGGTGCAGGTTAGAAGAAGAAGATTAATCCAAGAAGTGGCGAAAAATGTTGCGGCAGTTTCATCTGCATAATTTCTATTTACGTTTTGATGACTTCGTGGCGCAGTTGCCAAGTATTGGTGGTTTCGGCGTCGGGGGTCGGGGGTAGGGTGGGGGTCCTACACGGGATAACGTTATCCTGAAGTGAGGGCAATGTTAATAAAAAAAACCTGTAACCGGTAAATGGGAACCATCGCCGAAGCACCCCTTGCACATTGCAGTTGTCAACAAGTCTGAGTGCGCTCACCGGACTAAGCGCTAAGCTAAATATACTTGTACATTTTGCCAGGCTTTAATTTAACAGTGGTAGGGGCCACGCAACACTCTTCGCTGTTGCACGAATGGGCAGGTCAGTTCGGGGAAGTACCATGATCTCACAATAGACCAGCGTAACTGGAAGTGTTATATATCTGTGTTTCGTCTGGTGAGTGGTGAGAGAGGAAGCCGAGGCTCACTGCATCATAAGGTGGCAATGCATCTGTAACCCTACGTGTGTTGCAGATGTCCATAGGCTCAATTGCCACCTTCTTACATAAAAAAAGGCTACTAGAAGACTGTGTTGCTTCGACGAATGATCTTTATGTAAAAGCAGTTGGCATCCATTCGTTGCAACAAGGCAAAATTTATTGCCACGAACATACACAGCATTTCTAGTTTTAGGTAAAATAAAATAGTAAGTAACTGTCTTGAGACCATGTACGCCGGAGACGACTCGAAATGTTGAGAATAAAAAGGACAATAAAACGCGATATGGTCCGTAAAACAGTTCAATCTAACCTTGTATAATATTCGCGTAATACCGAGAAATCAATACAAAATAGATACTGTTTTGTCCAATATCGAATGGAGGTCGGTACGCGTCGCGGCTGGATGCGTCGACATTGAACTTATCGCGGCAAAAAAGTTACGTCACCACGTCCCGGCGACGCTGATAACGCGGGGCACGTATGTATAGTCTCCCCTAAATTAATTCTAATGTTTGTTCGTTGTAAAGGCACGTTCACATTGAACAGGTTTTGACTGGGCTGGTGCGTTAAACACTACAGCATCGCCTCTTACCCTAAGGTAATCCAGCTAAGAAACCCTGGGCAGTCCTTTCTTTCTTATTCTTCTTAATCTTTATATACAGCGTGTCGTTACCATCGCGACAATAAATGAACACACATATAGGGCATAACTTTTTAAAGTTGTATTAAACATTTAAATTCTTTAAACATCAATATTTACAGAGTTATTAAATTTTCCAAAACAAAGAATTTTAGAACATCCTTACCTATAAAAGCGTAACGTAAAAACGTGTTAGAAGGAGAGGCTTGTAATACGACGCTGTGGCGCGAGTTGTATAGGATGTTACCAATTTTGTTTCCTTTTTACTTAATTAG